TGTAAGTCAAACACCACGCATCTTGTCAGTCATGTAAGTCAAACACAACGCATCTTGTCAGTCATGTAGGTCAAACATCACGCATCTTGTCAGCCATGTATATCAAACACCACGCATCTTGTCAGTCATGTATATCAAACACCACGCATGTTGTGATGTTGTCAGTCATGTATATCAAACACCACGCATGTTGTGATGTTGTCAGCCAACTTAAAACAATAATGTGCTACGTAGGTTGGGGTGTGGAGTAGGGTAGGGGGAGGGGATCTTAAAATATCACGTTAATTGTATTTCAGATTTTCAAGAAGATGATGGTTATAATAGTTTTATCACGGAGAGTAGGTGTGGCTAGAGCTTGGTGCGCCATTCATGGACGACATCTCATGTTAAATATTGTCTATTTTTTTGTTACGACAACACAACTGTACCTGACTCACACAGTACAACATCTGTGATCTATAACTGTACGCTGTTGTCAGCAGCGACCAGAGATTTTTATTACATTGTGTCTATCCCATCTTTGTTTCAAACACTTGACGTGTGGCTATTTTGTGACATATGGCTCTTTTGTGACATATGGCTCTTTTGTGACATTTGGCTCTTTTGTGATATTTGGCTCTTTTGTGACATTTGGCCATCTTGTGACATTAGGCCATCTTGTGACATTTGGCTATCTTGTAACACCTAGCCACTTGCGCCATATGGCCATCCTGTGACATTCGGTCATCCGGTGACATTTGATGATCTTGCAGCGTGGAGTGGAGTGGCGTCATGTTGCTGCATTATTTACAAGTGTTAATATCAGCCTCCACCACCGGCTATGCTGGTGTGAGAACTAATCTTTTTTTTTACTCACGCTGGGTGGTGATGGAGAGGGTTCCATAGTCGACAATCTAGTGCACGAGACTGTTCCGATGACGTCATGTCATTTGAGTCGGTCTTCACCCCTACCCCTGGTATAAAAAAACCAAAACCTCTCCAAGCCCCACCCACAAATACGAGTTGTTCCACGCCTCTAACACAAGCTTACACCCCACACAAATTAGACACGATCTTCACTCTATCGTGCTATAGACCGTTCCATTTGTTGAGGCAGGGCTATGTACCAGGAGCAGGACTATGGAGCAGGGCTATGGAGCAGGGTCTATGGAGCAGGACTATGGAGCAGAGCTATGGAGCAGGAGCAGGACTATGGAGCAGGAGCAGGACTATGTAGCAGGAGCAGGACTATGTGGCAGGAGCAGGACTATGTATCCGGAGCAGGGGCTATTGAGCAGGAGCAGGACTAAGGATCTGGAGCAGGGTTATGTAGCACGTGTTGTGGTGTGTTGCAGGACTACGGAGCAGTTCATCTTTTAACACCACATCAAGTAAAATTGGAAACAAACTAAAAAGAAATCCCAGACATCAAAGTCTAGCGTATGGAATAAAGATCAAACAGACTAATTAATAATTAACACAGCTAATTACGATTTACGCATGCAAGGGTCGCTGCGACCTTCAAGCTAACGTAACACAGCAAGAAGCTGGACTAAATACCGACAGTCGACCACATAAGGACATCACTAAGAGAAGCTGGACTAGATACCGACAGTCTACCAAACATTTCTTTTGGACATCACTAAGAAAAGTTGGACTAAATACCGATAGTTGACTAGACACCGAAGTATCATAATCTTATAATAACCGTTAATCTATCGGCAACTAGACTAGATCAAAGTAATACCACTATAAACCGTCTCAACAAGCACCCATACAACCAACCCATATAACCACCCCATACGACCACCCCATACAACCACTCATACAAGCACCCCATACAACCACCCATACAACCACTCATACAACCACTCATACAAGCACCCATACAACCACTCATACAACCACTCATACAAGCACCCCATACAACCACTCATACAAGCACCCATACAACCACTCATACAACCACTCATACAAGCACCCATACAACCACTCATACAACCACTCATACAAGCACTCATACAACCACTCATACAACCACTCATACAACCAACCATACAACCACCTCATACAACCACCCATACAAGCACCCCATACAAGCACCCCATACAACCACCCATACAACCACTCATACAACCACTCATACAACCACTCATACAAGCACCCCATACAAGCACCCCATACAACCACTCATACAACCACTCATACAACCACTCATACAACCACTCATACAAGCACCCCATACAACCACTCATACAACCACTCATACAACCACTCATACAACCACTCATACAAGCACCCCATACAACCACCCATACAACCAACCCATACAACCGCTCATACAACCAACCCATACAACCAACCCATACAACCACCCATACAACCAACCCATACAACCAACCCATACAACCACTCATACAACCACCCCATACAACCACTCATACAAGCACCCCATACAACCACTCATACAACCACCCATACAAGCACCCATACAACCACTCATACAACCACCCATACAACCACCCCATACAACCACTCATACAACCACCCCATACAACCACTCATACAACCACCCATACAACCACTCATACAACCGCTCATACAACCAACCCATACAACCACTCATACAACCACTCATACAACCAACCCATACAACCAACCCATACAACCACTCATACAAGCACCCCATACAAGCACCCCATACAACCAACCCATACAACCAACCCATACAACCAACCCATACAAGCACCCCATACAACCAACCCATACAACCACTCATACAAGCACCCCATACAACCAACCCATACAACCACCCATACAACCAACCCATACAACCACCCCATACAAGCACCCCATACAACCACTCATACAACCACTCATACAAGCACCCCATACAACCAACCCATACAACCACTCATACAAGCACCCCATACAACCAACCATACAACCAACCCATACAACCAACCCATACAAGCACCCCATACAAGCACCCCATACAACCAACCCATACAACCACCCATACAAGCACCCCATACAACCAACCCATACAACCAACCCATACAAGCACCCCATACAACCACCCCATACAACCAACCCATACAACCAACCCATACAACCACTCATACAAGCACCCCATACAACCAACCCATACAACCAACCCATACAACCAACCCATACAACCACCCATACAAGCACCCCATACAAGCACCCCATACAACCAACCCATACAACCACCCATACAACCACCCATACAACCAACCCATACAACCAACCCATACAACCACTCATACAAGCACCCCATACAACCAACCCATACAACCAACCCATACAACCACCCATACAACCAACCCATACAACCACCCATACAACCAACCCATACAACCAACCCATACAACCAACCCATACAACCACCCATACAACCAACCCATACAAGCACCCCATACAACCACTCATACAAGCACCCCATACAACCAACCATACAACCACCCATACAACCACCCATACAACCACCCATACAACCGCCCACCGGGTCAAAGGTACCGCTATCTGTGATTTGGCACTGACCCAGCACAAGAAATTCTACCCACGTAAACACTTGCCCCGTTGTTTATAAACAGCCGAGGTTGGAATATAATAGTAAAACCTACCAGCGGTGGTTGGAATATACCAGTAAAACCTACCAACTAAGCCTACCAGCGGTGGTTGGAATATACCAGTAAACCTAACAACTAAACCTACCAACTAAACCTACCAGTGGTGGCTGGAATATACCAGTAAACCTAACAACTAAACCTACCAACTAAACCTACCAGCGGTGGTTGGAATATACCAGTAAACCTAACAACTAAACCTACCAACTAAACCTACCAGTGGTGGTTGGAATATACCAGTAAACCTAACAACTAAAACTACAAACAGACAAGGCTAGTAAAAATAAACAGCCAGATAAAAGGCTGACCACGTCTCGGCCATAAACACGGTGGATACCACGAGCTATTGTTTAGGACTAGATATCTATGTCATATTGTCAAAACCAAGTTTTGGGGGCATACACTGGGTGGACCAATCAATAGCCAGCACCAGACTTGATCATTTCAAGATACAGGACACCAGGCGTCAAATTGTGGGGTGGGGGCAATGTGGGGTCACTGGGGGGGGGGGGGCAATGTGGGGTCACTGGGGATCTCGGTTGGGGAGCCGCGGGAGGGGTTGGGGCAGCTCGGGCCAGGGGTTGTGAATAGTGGGGGTTGGGTAGCGCAGTCTGACGTTTGCTTTTTGTGTGTATATGCCAGTAAACTGTTGACCCTGGGCCCAAAAAGTGCACCCCTAGCATAAAAATTGATTCGACCCACTGTTCGTTGAGGTGAGAAAATAATGTGGGGTATGTAAAGCTCATGTGGGTAAAAATGTGGGGTATGTAAGCTGATGTAGATAAAAATGTGGGGTGTGGGGTATGTAAGCTGATGTAGATAAAAATGTGGGGTATGTAAGCTGATGTAGGTAAAAATGTGGGGTATGTAAGCTGATGTAGGTAAAAATGTGGGGTATGTAAGCTGATGTAGGTAAAAATGTGGGGTATGTAAGCTGATGTAGATAAAAATGTGGGGTATGTAAGCTGATGTAGATAAAAATGTGGGGTATGTAAGCTGATGTAGATAAAAATGTGGGGTATGTAAGCTGATGTAGATAAAAATGTGGGGTATGTAAGCTGATGTAGGTAAAAATGTGGGGTATGTAAGCTGATGTAGGTAAAAATGTGGGGTATGTAAGCTGATGTAGGTAAAAATGTGGGGTATGTAGTAAGCTGATGTAGGTAAAAAATGTGGGGTATGTAAGCTGAAGTAGATAAAAATGTGGGGTATGTAAGCTGATGTAGGTAAAAATGTGGGGTATGTAAGCTGATGTAGATAAAATTTGGGGTATGCATGTAGGTTGATAGAGATAAAAATGTAGGATTTGTATCTAGGCCGCTGTAGAAAAAAATGTGGGGTATGTATGTTGATAGAAAAAAAAATGTGTACCTTGGTTGGCTCATCGTGGCACTAGGTCAAGCGTGAAACTCAGCTGCTATCCCTCTCTACCGACACACACCATCCTTACACACATTGTTCCCTACACACCGTGTCCCCACACACAATGTGACTCCTGTGACCGTCACGGTCAGCCTCTGACTGCGGTAACCTGAACGTCTGCTGAGGTACGACAGTTAGACCTGGCAGGGCGACACACCGGGCCAGCTAAATCCAGTACCCGGCCGTGCCACGCTCCAGCGACCACAAGACGTTGATGTAAACAAAGTCACGAGCCAGTCTTCCAGGTGGAACACGTGACCAGTAGCCCTTGAATTCAAATCACTTTATCAATACCCATTAATGGGGCTACTTAACTGGTTAAAACACTGGCTACCTGTCTAAACAAAAAATTGCCTACCTGCCTAGCTAAAGTACTGGCTACCTGACTAGCTAAGACACTGCCTACCTAATTGGCTACACGTATAGCTAAAACAATGGCTACCTGTCTAGCTAAAACACTGGCTACCTGTCTAGCTAAAACAATGGCTACCTGTCTAGCTAAAGCACTGGCTACCTGTCTAGCTAAAACAATGGCTACCTGTCTAGCTAAAACACTGGCTACCTGTCTAGCTAAAACACTGGCTACCTGTCTAGCTAAAACACTGGCTACCTGTCTAGCTAAAACACTGGCTACCTGTCTAGCTAAAACACTGGCTACCTGTCTAGCTAAAACACTGGCTACCTGACTAGCTAAAACACTGGCTACCTGTCTAGCTAAAACACTAGCTACCTGTCTAGCTAAAACACTGGCTACCTGACGACAACCACCAGTAGCACTGGTTCAGGTGGTTTGAACGACTTACGCCGTCGTATCGTCCCCGCTGATCAATAATCCACTTGGGATTTTTTCAAAGTTGAACAGACCATTATCGGAAAGATAAAAAGACGAGATTATGTTCAACCAGATAAGACCCGGCGACCTATGGAGGTTTATTTATAGCCAGGCCAGAATAGATCACTCGTCAAAACAAACATTCGAACCAACTACTTCACGACATGCGCAATAACTGACCATGTTGGTAGAATTTGAACACGAATCAATAAGGTCTGATTGAGAACCAATCACTACTACAAACAAGCTTTTGTTTTGTTGTGCTGATAAGGTTTGAACTTAGCCATCGAAGGACGTGGTGTGTAAGGGAGCGAGATTACATGCGTAATTGTTCGTTGTTTTCTTAGCTCTCCTGGTCTGATCTCTGCTGGTTAGAGGATCGATAACTGACTGCACCGGACAACTTAGATATGGCTGCAGTCATGGGTGACAAGATATATGGCTGCAGTTTTGTATTGACAAGATATATGGCTGCAGTCATGGGCGACAAGGTATATGGCTGCAGTCATGGGCGACAAGGTATATGGCTGCAGTCATGTGTGACAAGATATATGGCTGCAGTCATGGGTGACAAGTTAAGAGTGCAGTCATGTATGACAAGATATATGGCTGCAGTTATGTGCGACAAGATATATGGCTGCAGTTATGTGCGACAAGATATGGCTGCAGTTATGTGCGACAAGATATATGGCTGCAGTTTTGTATTGACAAGATATATGGCTGCAGTTATGTGCGACAAGATATGGCTGCAGTTATGTGCGACAAGATATATGGCTGCAGTTTTGTATTGACAAGATATATGGCTGCAGTCATGTGCGACAAGATATATGGCTGCAGTCATGTGCGGCAAGATATATGGCTGCAGTTATGTGCGACAAGATATATGGCTGCAGTCAGGGGTGACAAGTTAAGAGTGCAAATATGCGTGACAAGTTATGGCTGCAGTTATATGTGCGACAGAAGTTACGACATGACTACAAACTATGAACCGGTAAGACTTCTTCAAATATCTAGACCCAGTTTAGAACCTTGCTATAAAGAAGCCGGAGTTCCGTGATTTGCTTATCACATCCTACCAGCTTGATGTGCTGACCTCCTATCTGGTCATCAGACACACACGGGACATGGGCCAACTGGTTAGGTTAGATACAATAGGACGTTTGTTGGGAACATGGAACAATGGAATATTTATGGGGAACATGGAACAATGGAATATTTGTTGGGAACATGGGACAATTGAATATTATTAGAACATGGAACAGTGCAATATTTGCCGGGAACGTGTTATAACGGAACTAATTCAAATTTACAGTAACATCACCAACCACCATGCCTTATATAAAAGAGAAAAGGAGAAACACTTCTAACACGTGATTCATGAGCACGAGACCAGAAAGGGGGAGCACGAGATAAGAAAGGAGGGGGGGGGGGGGGGGAAGTTACCAGGCCAAGATGTATGGGACGACTGCCGGGATTACAACAGCATCCAGTGAACCGCCCCGCCACTGGTGAACTAGCACGCTGAACCATCACTAACTGCTCACTCTGATCACGCACGTGTAATGCACTCAGTGACATTTGAAGGTACTGGTGCCAGATTTTGACAACATCGAACCTAGGTATAAACAAACTAGTGGAAGCAGCCAGCGAGTAGTGCCATACTGATAGTATTAGGCAACATGTGAATCAGGTTGGGGAGTAGGGCGAGAAGGTGGTGGGCTGTATGAGGTGGGGGAGGTTGGGGGAGAAGGGGAGGTCGGGGGAGAAGAGGAAATTGGGTAAGGTGGAGGAGGGGGTTACGTGAGAAGGGGTGGGTGAGGGGTTTAAGTAAGGTGGGTGGAGAGTATTCAGTGAAGTGGGGGCAGGGTGAGGTTAAGGCAGAAGATGGGATTAAATGGGATGGAAGAGGAGGTTGCGGTGGGGGTGGTGGGGGTGGTTGAGGGTTGCATGAAGTGGGGTTGGGTGAGGGTGTTAGGTGTGGTGGGAGTATGGTGAGGTTGGGGTGGGGTGGGGTGACAGCAGCCAATTATCGTCAGACCGCGACATATTTACATTGGCCCGCCGTGTTTAGACCAGTTTCCACCAATCAGATTCACTGCCCAGATTAACATCGCTCCCATTCAGATAAAACTTCCGGCCACCACTTGTACCATGAAACACGTTTGCTTTGCGACTGATAAACGTAATATTTATTCAATACAAATCTAACACCTCTTAACAAAACAACACGCTATTAACATCATACAAACTTACACAATGTACACGTATAGCACTGGACATCAGAAATGTGGAAAAACACTACAATGATTATATTTTAAAAAGTGTGCGAATCGGCGATTGTAAGCCAAGAAATAAAGAATAACCTTCCTGTCAAATGAATTCCGCTAGCAAGTTGATAAGGGGCACAACCCAGAAGGTAGACAAACACGTTATTGTTTACCGTTAGGCCTAGAAGGAAGGTTATAGACACACTTTTCATACAAGGGGACGTAATCCAGGATGTAGATTTAAAATCAAGGGGGCGTGGCTGTGTACGTTTATGTGTGTTTATTAAAGGTAAGTTGTGAAAACAAAACCAAGTTATACTTCTTGTTTTTAATCTAATCCTTGTAAATACGGGAAAACTGAAATCATCGCTGTTCCAATTAATTTCCCCTACGTGTTTACGCATTGAACAAGTAAAGCAAACAAAGTTAAAAAGATTTTTTTTAAAACACGGTATGTTATAACACATTTTTTTCCACACACCCCGTCTTATAATTTCCATAATTCGTTTCCCAGTGATATATAATATATACATTTCATACACATTATGTACAAGTCGTTGTTGTAAAGAGTGTATGTATAGACAGTTTTGGAGCAAGTGGCGGCAAGGTGACCGTTAAGCCGTTCCTAAATGGTGTGTTAGCGCATACACGAATGGTTTAAGTAACGAACTGAAACAAAGACTAGATAATGAAGCGGGGTCTGGCTGCTAAAGTAACGAGGTGATGGTGTCGGTAATGTTTCTCCTGCAAGATTCAACTTCCCCCCCAGTGGACAAATTAGCATAACGGACAAGTCAATTACCCAGCAGGCGAAGGTGAAACCACCGATCAGACGAGTGTCACGACTTCCTGTCTGCGACTTCTGCTTTGAGCTTTAATGAGGCAGCTGTTGGCTGTTTTTCCAAGTCCTAACTAAAACGTTTGTTTTTTTAAGTTCTAGACTAATGTCCTCTTCCGAAGTTCTGATGGGGTTTTAAAAGGACAAATAACAATACCAGAGCTACAGATTAACATAGCACTAGATTGGCTCAATGGTATAATATGGAGTTATTCTTCTTATCGATGTCTTTTTTGGGTTGGAGTTTAAGTACTAGTATACTACAGGTATATTGAGGCGCCACCATAACACAGGTTAGGGTTTAAGCACTAGTATACTTTGGCAACACGATAACAAGGGTTTCAGTTAATTTGGAATTACCTGGAGAAAATCCAAATGGATTCATGGGAACAAAGAAATAAAAAGATGAAGATTAGGAAAAGGGCCAGGGTAGCGATACGAACACAAAGATAACCCCGAACACGTCATGTCGGTATTTCAGTCATGACCGTAGCCCGAACACGTCATGTAGGTATTTCAGTCATGACCGGAGCCCGAACACGTCATGTCGGTATTTCAGTCATGACCGGAGTCCACGTGTCGTCATGTCGGTATTTCAGTCATGACCGGAGCCCGAACACGTCATGTCGGTATTTCAGTCATGACCGGAGTCCACGTGTCGTCATGTCGGTATTTCAGTCATGACCGGAGCCCGAACATGTCATGTCGGTATTTCAGTCATGACCGGAGTCCACGTGTCGTCATGTCGGTATTTCAGTCATGACCGGAGCCCGAACACGTCATGTCGGTATTTCAGTGATGACCGGAGCCCGAACACGTCATGTAGGTATTTTAGTCATGACCGGAGTCCACGTCATGTCGGTATTTCAGTGATGACCGGAGCCCGAACACGTCATGTCGGTATTTCAGTCATGACCGGAGCCCGAACACGTCATGTCGGTATTTCAGTCATGACCAGCCACCCTTCTCCCAACCACCCAAAGACAGAGAGTAAAGCGACAGCAACATATGTTTGACTTACTGTGTGGGCTGCGACTGGTCCTCCGACGTCACCACTGCTAGTCTTAGGTCAGGCATAGGGGCAACTCTGGGGAAGACAAAAGTCTTAGGTCAGGCATAGGGGCAACTCTGGGGAAGACAAAAGTCTTAGGTCAGGCATAGGGGCAACTCTGGGGAAGACAAAAGTCTTAGGTCACAAAATTCTTACGCTAAAACGTAACACTATAAACGTTAGCCTAGTGAGACAAAGCATGCCGTAGTCTCAAATAGTGGACAAACATTACGTATTAGCTCAGACAGAGACAGTGTTTCAAAGTTGACTCAGGAAAAACATATAATTGTTATATGTGGACAGACAAAAAGTATAATAAGTCTAGGAAAAATCGAACATTGTCACAGGTTAACAAAGCTT